CATGACTGAACATGCAGAATCACAACACGATCCATTATGACATGATGGTACATGTCCAGATGAGGACAATTGAAGATTTGCTAGAAAGAGGGCAAAATCTGACAGGGCAGATGCACATTCTGTTGCTGTATTTTCAGATATTTCAAGTTTCAACAGCAGGCTTTTTGGAATTATATCTATAAAACAACAAAAGTTTGAAAAGTTTCAAATGATTAAAAAAAAAAAAATCCACATTCAATCATCCCCATGTCATCTAAACCAGTTTAACTTTCTTTCTTCTGTGGAACATATAAAAATTACATTATACTTGGATTTTAGTTTTTTTCCATACAATGAATGTCAATCGGGTCCAATGTCTTTTTTTTTTTTTCGTCAGTTGACACTTTTAAAAACATTTGAAACATATTTCAAAATATAAAGTCATACAGGTTTGAAACAACATGAGGGTGAGTAAATGATGACAATTGTCTTTGGGTGAACGAACAGTTTAATGATCTAGGATTTGCCAAAAAGAATATGAGACAGAGAGTTCAAAGTTTGGCTGCTTAGCATGACCCTCTACGCTCCTGCTGGTAGAAAATGTAATTACACCATTCTGGCAGCAAAAGTAAATCTTGCCTTGTGTGTTTGCACAATAAAAAAAAAATAAAAATTGACTGCCTATGAGCAGAGACAAAATATTTGAAATCTCATACTTCCAGGGAGTCATGTGCACTGAAAAAAATGATTCATTGAATTTACTAAATATTTTTTAAGGTAAGTGGTTGCAATGAATTTATTTTAGCTACATTTAAATAAACATTTAGTTGACTAACTTTCAACATGCTTTTTTTTTTTTTTAAATGTAGCTAAAATAAATAGTTTTCAATCACTTACCTTAAAAAAAATTTGTATCATTTTTTTCAGCGTGCCAGATGAGAAAGTGGCACTGAAGTCAGGGGAAATGCTAACAGACAGTTTTCTCCAGGTATTATAGAAGACCCTAAAAGTCAAAACACTTGAAAATATCCTAATTGTCCCTCTTTTTTTAGAGTCTTTGTCCTGAACACAACACAAAATCACTCTGATGATTAAAACTGACCTGTCACCCTGTTCCAGAACTCCTGCTGCTGTATCAGAGACATGCATCTTTAGTAATCTTATCCGTTATAAGCTCTGATGGAGAAGCCTTACCTCACCGCATCAAACTTGCTTCGGAAAACCATTTATGGGATTCATGTTGTGTCCCCAGGTTTCAACGTTAACTTGTTCAGTGGTCCAAAGTCATACTGCAAATTGCATTATATAAACTGAGAGCTATACTGCATACTTCCCAGCAGGTAAAAATCACATAAAAATGCTAAATTGATTTTGGGGTTAACCAACCTCTCACAATGCAATAAGGTACTAAAGAAAGTTTTTGCAAGTATTACAAGTACTTACGTAAATGAAATGACTTTCATTTCTGCGTCGCTCTCAGTTTCTGCTTTCCACTGGCCGCAGGGATACTTTGGTGCATTTGATTAATTTTTCTTGGCTAGATTAAATTTTACATTTCACACTTCTTTTTTGAACTTCATCATGCTTATTCAAAAATTCATGGATCATAAAAACAGAAAACATAAAATAAACAAATCAGAAAAATCAGAGTTGCATCTGCCATAAATAAACAGAATAATAACAAAAACTTTACCATGTTTCAAGATTTCAATCAAAACAGATCAAATACCACATACTTGAAACACTGCTGTTCAAAAGTTCAGGGTCTGTACTTAAAGGGTTAGTTCACCCAAAAATGAAAATTCTGTCATTAATTACTCACCCTTGTGTTGTTCGAAACCCGTAAGACCTTCGTTCATCTTTGTAACACAATTTTAGATATTTTTGATGAAATCTGAGGGCTCTCTGACCCTCTCATAGACAGCAAGGTAACTACCACGTTCAAGGTCCAGAAAAGTACCAACCATCAGTGGTTCAACTGTAAAGGGGTTTGGAACAACACGAGGGTGAGTAATTGATGAAAGAATTTTCATTTTTGGGTGAACTAACCCTTTAAAAAAAAATATATATATATTTAGCAAGGATGCATTAAACTGATCAAAAGTGACAGTAAAGTGGTTTACATTATTACAAAAAATTTATAAAAAAAAAATGCTGTTTCAAAGTTTCCACAAAATAACATAAGTAAAAAATAAAAACAAAAAAATAAATAAAGTAGTACAACTGTTTTCAACATTAATAATAATAAATGTTTCTTGAGCACCAAATCAGCATATTAAAATTATTTCCGAAGGCTCATGTGACACTGAAGACTGATGAAAACAGGAATCACAGGGATAAATTTAAAATACAACAAGATAGAAATCAGTTATTTTAAAGTGTAATAATATTTCAAAATATTACTGCTTTTGCTGTATATTTGTGATCAAATAATTGCAGGCTTGATGAGCATCTTCTTTTAATACACACACACACACACATCAAAAAACAAACAAACAAAAATCTTACAGACCTCAATCTTTTGAATCGTTGTGTAATATATATATACAATTCCTATTTTGATAAATCATTTTAATATATAAAATTATTACTATACACACAAAGCCAAACAGCTTCCTTTTGGCCGCCTGCGTTAGTGAATTCTAATTCAGCGTGGTATGATGAAGCAGACTTATAAGTGTAAAAGCGGTCCTTCTCCCTTAAAGGGGGTTCTCTCCTCTGAGTGGTACATAAAGAAGACACACTTAAAAGTGATATTATGTTCAGACCCCTGCGTCCTTGTTTTTGTGAGCCATGCAGAAAGTAGTCAAATTCAACCAAACACCCAGACATAATGAATACTTAAAAAACCATTAAAGAACCAATCTTAAATAAACATCACAGTATGAGTGATGTGCCAGGCGCCTCTGAGAGCCAGTGTGAGGTGAATAAACATCACTAAATGAACATCAGGGGCTGAATGACCTCTATTCATCGGCAGATCAAACCTTTTTCCTCTTTTCAGCAACACTACCTCCCTGACTGTAGACTTCCCTGGGCTTCATACCCGTCATAAGCCTCTCGACGATCCTTCTTTGATGAATTATTTCACTTAATGGAATAAAGACATTGACCATTATTAGGTTTAAGCTAGCTGACGCCAGAGTTTCACTTGCACACATGTGGCACACAGTCCAGGAGTCCACAGTGCCTAAATCAAGCCGATCCTATTCTCGCCGACGGCATTAGTGCCTCACTTGAAAACAAATTAAAACAATGTGACCCAGTGAGGCCAGACACAGAATGGGGTTTGTCCTAAAAAACACAGTCCTATTTGCACCAAAAAAATAATAAAAAAGACGAGGGGAGGGGGACAAACAGGTAATGCTATTTATCTCGCCAAAGAAACTAATGTGCCTTCGCAAGCTGGGATAAAAATAAAAGACTCATTGAGTGCATATGTGCTCAGTGCCTTGGAGGGACTCTAATGCATTTTCATTTAGACCAAACTCAGATGTTATTAGGACCGTCTCGCTCCGTCTTCATTTCACTCTGATCTCAAGGCCAAAGCAGACAAAGTGGGCCACTTTCTAGTAGTCCTCTTAAAAATCGTTTAGACTGAAAACAGCGAAAGGCAAGTATACTGAAGAATAGATGAAATTACTGTTATCATGGCATCAAAGTCTTGCGTGTAAATTATGTAGTAGACACATTTTTTTTTCTACCTCCTAAAGGCCATTGGTTTTAAAATCGTAAAAACAACTGTGAAAAGATCTGGGAAGATTCAAACAACATTTTTAACATTTGTACAATTATATCCAGTTACTGGTTGTAATCGAGGGTTTGGGTTTGGGCAAGCATTGTGGCTGCTCAATGAATGAAACATAGCATCAATGCTTGAATATTTTGAAAATATTCCAAATTACATTCAGCAAATATTCAAAACATTCTAAACACCTAGAATTAAATGGTGAAGGTTGATCAAAAGCTGTGAACCTATCATGGTCTGAGTCCTTAACCATCTTGAAGAAACGACTAAAAACACATCTGTTCCACCTTTATTTGACCCTCTAACTCTAGCACTTTCTATTCTATTTTAATTCTACTTTATCTATATTTATCTTCTTTTTTTATTAAAAAAAACAAACAAACAAAAAAAACCACTAGCTTTCTATTTTTTCTATTCAATCTACTTGTTTTTCTTTGTGTGTGTGTCTGTGTGTATAATATATATATATATATATATATATATATATATATATATATATATACACACCTTGCTACGTGTACTGCGTCTGCAAGCCCGTCGGGTCCCCCATGCTTCGTTTCCAAAAGTTCCCCTAAAAGCTCCCAATGCTTCGGGAAAAGCTGCATTTTGGAAGAGTTTTGATTTGATTAAATGTAAATGTAATCATAGGACTGTGCAGTATGATTGTGCAGTTTATACCACGAATGGTGTATGAATGCTATGAATGGCGACCGACTGCAACGATATTGCAGATTATTCTTTAGTGTGACGTTCTGTATTGGACAACTTAATTGCTTAGCCACACAATGGTATACACATCATCATGTTAATTTGTTTAATTAAAAAGTATGGGGGCATGTATTTAAAAAAAAACAATAAATGATGATTACGGACAAATCATTCATAACAAACACTGCAACGCAAGTTACGAAAATTAAAAATGTCGATTTTGCTTTCATGGTGACTGAGACTGCTTTACATTATTTCGAATGAGGGCAACAGAGAAACATGGGAGTCCCAAAGATATCATACAAGGTTCTGTTTTGTGTGGCTCATCCAGTCAGAACATTATACATTTATTAAAATACATTTATTATTATTAGTTTTATAGTTTTGTTTCTACTTTACCGTAAATTGAAATGTTGTTGCAATGAAAGATTATGAAGAGCCTTATATTTTGGTCTGCGCCCAAGTCCCAAATATAAATAAATAAATAAATAATTTATTTTATTTTTGAAGTATTTAATTTACAGTACTGACGTAACCTGAAATAGCAATGCTGGTTCATTCTTACCTTGAAGTTGCATATGCATGTTATTATGTCCCCAATTCTGAGACACTCGCCGTCAAACTTGCAAGTGTTGGTGTCACAAAGGAAGAGATCTGTGTCCCGGTCATCATCCCCTGCAACAACATGAAGAGCCAAAAAACACCATGAATATCTGCATAAACACAGTGGTGTCAAGACACAACCAGCACAAGCAGGATAATGTTTTTTCAAACACTTCTGATAAAAATAAGTCAGCAGAACTAACGGTACGAACACGTCATCCAGCAGGCAGGCTGGCAAGGCTTCTGAAGGGTTCATCAAGTTGTGATGAACCCCATTCGCCAAGACCATATTTTACTCTTGAGACATTTTCTTATCAGGAATAAAACAAGTGCTCATGGAGGAATAATGATTCACCACATGGTGAACTTCTTGGAATCACCGCATGAGAACCTTATTCAGCTTTTATAATAAGCTGAGTACAGGCTCTGCAAAATATTCTTATTTTGCTGAGGAGCCGGACAGACTCTGAAAAATTGCACTTCATCAAAAATCAAGAGCTCACAGACAGTTTAAGTTCACAAGGATTCCTAAAGATGATTACAATTAAGATGAGTTGTTTCAAAAACAGGACACCGCTGAGTCAAAACCTAATTTTACTATTCAGCGTACAAAAGCTGACTGCTGTTCATTTAACAATTAAGCTCCCCAAATAATGAGTTTACCCATTAGGCACTCCATCATTCAGTCCTTATCTGATACCTTTTATAATTATGTAAGAAATAAGCATCTCTATCATTTGCTTAATATTAAAAAACTACACAAACATTACGCAAAGAATAATATCTCATGATACTGTACATTCTACATTACCGGCATATATTTCGACTCAAAGCGCCATATATCATCATAATAAGACTATACGACACAAAACAGTGGGTCCACTCATGTGCCCTGGGATTTTTGCTGTCAAAGCAAATAAGCTTCTTGCAAGTGCTACACAGTATTTTTACCCTGTGTTATCCGGTGAGGCCTGGAAGCTAGAAAGAACCAGAACATTGCTCATTGTAACGACAACACCAGAGGACATGCAGCTACTTTAGGCCCCTGCTAAAGGGCCACATACAGCGTGGAAATATGTCTTACATAACCTTGTGGCTTATTTGCGTTTCAGCTAAAAAAATTATCAATGCACCTCAAACGCTACAAGGGGGGCAAAAAGAATAGCAGTCTTGCGAGACAGTTGCAATATTCACATTATGTGCCTCAGACTCAGTTCTGGAGACCTTGAGAAATGATGCCGGCTCTTGGTATGTGCATAAATCCCTCTTGTAAAATTAGTAGCTGTTCATGCTTTGCATCAGGAATATTTAATTAAAATTCATCTTGTTCACAATCTGTTCTTAAGGAGCTGTGATAAACTGACATTCAATCAATTCAGCCTACTGAAGCAACAAATACTAGTCAGAGTATTTGCCAAAGCTAATTAGTCAAAACCATTGTCAATCCCTTGGCTTACTGATAAAATAAGAATTTATGCGTTAATTTGAATCTAATATTTCTTACACAAAACATTTTCCTCACATTCATTCCTCACATTTTTTGAGGCGGCATCAGTAGAAGTCCTAGATCACTTCGTGCCTTAAAGGCATAGTTCACCAAAAAAAAAACCTTCTGTGGAACACACACACACACACACACACACACACACACACAAAAAGATATTCTGAAGAATTTTTTTGTCCAAACATCATTGTACCCCCACTGACTTTCACTTTATAGAATAAAAACACTTGAGAAATGGAATTAAGTGTTCAAGAGAAAAAAAATTTGATAATAAAGTCATACAACTTTATTATCAAACATACAAATAATTGTTCTGGAAGTTGCATTTAAGATCCACTTGGCTCACAAATCTAATGTGGCACATTGCTCTTTGGTTTGAGTGGGCATGATGCATCTGCTTGCATTATTGATGCAAGCACTCCCTCTGCGAAGGCATACAGATGCAAAGCATTTTGTCACACCTCTACTGCTTGGCTGCCCTTCCATAACTGTGTCATAATACAGTTTGACCTTGCAACACAGGTAGACACATTTGAGTGCATGTCTGAAACGTGCAGTATTCAACGAGGCACTTGGCAACAGGAGCAGGAGGGGGAATTGGTGTTATGGATCGGAGAGGAACATGGAGATCTGAGTCACAGGAGCTTTTCTCTCACCAGACACAAAATCCTTCTATTCAGTCTAATTAATCTGAAGCAGTGGCATCCTGTAGCGACACTGAAAAAACACATTCCATTAAAAAACAACACAAGAGGTGCCACCGTTTCAGAAACTGCGTAAGAAACACACCAAGTGACCTTGAAAAGACATTCTAACACACACACACACACACACACACACATAAAATAATACATTAAGAATGATTCAACAGTCAGGACCAGTGTTTACCAACCTTATGTCTTCTGAACTTTCACAGCCACACAAGTAAATTTCAATTACCCTTTCATCAAAAACAAACCAGAAATGTATTCCCTTTACAGCATGTTGTTGTATTTTATATCATTCATTATTGCACAAAACTGGTTTCAAATAAAATAAGGAGTCAGTGATTTCTGTCTATACAATGAAAGTCAGTGGAGTTCAAAGTTGTTTTGGACCCCACTGACATTCATTGTATGGACAGTTGAAACATTCTTCAAAATAACTTTTATGTTCCACAGAAGACATAGTCATAGCAGGAACAATTCTTTTCTTTCTTTCTTTCTTTCTTTCTTTCTTTTTTAAGTGGTGGTGAACTATCCCTTTACGTAACCCTTAAGAAGCTTCTTATGTACCCCCTGAGGTCCAACGTTCTCCTGGTCTGGACCATCAAAAAGTTCAAAACCATATAAGGTTAGGACAGGAAAGTGAAAACAGAGACTGAGGAAAGTTATCAGGTCACGCTTGAGGAAATGAGTTCTGGAAACAGGCAGTGACATCCTTGCAATTTTATTACGGTAATTTCTTCATCAAGGACACTGAAAGGCCTCTAAATGCTTAACCAGATTTTAAACTTAACCAAGACATCAGTCAGATAATTTGATTAACTGTAAATACGCTTTTGGAAGTCTGTTAAAAATGCTTTTTGAGCAGGGGTGAGTTACCATGAGCGGAAAGGAATTTTGTTCTGCTCTCTTTAAAGTCTTTCTGGCAGGACAATCTTTCAGTAGCTGTCTACACAGAGAGATAAGATCTGTTTTCCTTTTCTTTGTGAAGAAAGCACTGTATGTGTATGGACAACAAGAGAGTAAAAAAAAAAAACATACTGAAAATTTCAATAAAAATTCCTCAAAGTCATTCCTTGAAGTCACAAAGCAATGATTAGAGCAGCCAAACAGGAAATTACATCTTTCATCCTAAAATGCTCTACTATCTGACGGCCCACAAAAACAAGTTAAAGCAACTCTTCCTGAATCCAAAATAGACTTTCTCTAAATATGAAAACAGTTTGGTTTAAACACAGGACTTTTATGAACTTCAAGGTATGTGTATATGAAAATGTGATGTGCAAACAGTCCGTTTGACACACGGCCGTAAATAAGATAACAGTTGATGCATGACTATCCACAACAATGGTTTGCAGAGTCGATTCTTTTGGAGATGTTACTAGCTAGGCAAACACTATATTTAACCTCCCAACAAACAGCCTTATACTGACATCAAAACATTATGGAACACATTACATTTAGAACAAGAGTACATATTACAGACTTAAAGGAAGGTTATAGAATTTATACTATTCCTGTAGCATTAAACTAATACATTGGTAAGATCATATCAATAAATATATATTTTTAAATACAATACAAATTAAATATTTTTAATTCCTTAATATTTTAAAATACTATTTAAAAGATATGTGTAATATTTGTGCCACTAACATTACCAAAAAAAATTTAGTTTCTTCCCATAGGTTCTTCATCTGCCATTGGTCACAAAAACAGACAGTCCTGCTCCAACTCACGCCATTGTTTCCACTTTTTAGGAATTAGTTTGGAAAACAGTTGTCTCTGAACAATGATGCTCTATAGGCAAAAATATTTTAATAATAAAAAAAACTACACACTTTATAGTCTTCTTTAAAGTTGCCATAAAATGAAAATTTACATCATTTTGTAAATGCATGTTATGGATTTTTTTGTGAACAACTGGTTTAATTTTTATATTAATATGCTGGATAACATACTACTAATATTATATACTGTATTTTAGACCTCGTAATGTTTAATCAAAAATATTAATTCAATCTTCCAGTGAAATCAACAGAGCTCTCTCTGGTGATGTACATCAGACTTCTCCAATCATTTAGGCTGATTAAACTCTTCCTCAGAATCCAATCATCAACTGATGGGTAGAACCAAGTCCCACACTTACATATATATATTTTTTCTTTTTTGATAATTAGTTGCATACAGATGTACGGTACAATCTGGAAGAAAACCTCTGTTGCTATTTTTGTTTCATTGCAACTTTAAGACATTCTATACAAGGCCAAATATTTGCATATGCCTCATAAGTAGGGATACCCACCAAGTCTGTGGTTCTAAAGCCACAAATTCTATAAAAAAACTTCATAATCAGTATAACCTTGGTAACAGCTTTTGAACGGGTATTTGGAGCAGCATAATTTGTCCTATGGCTTGGCCACTTTTGCATAATAGCTATTTAGTAGCTAATGGAAGGCAATTTAAAACAAACAGGTTGTGTGTTACGGCTGTAACTTTACAGTGACAAGGTGAAGGACAGATTTAGTATAGAGAATGTTGCAGAACTTCGTAACTTACAAATACACATGAAGAACACAAGACTGTACTAATTAAAAATTCCACCTCCAATATTATAATTAGCCAACAACATCCACTTCATCAGTAACAGAGCTTTAACAGTCCTAATTAAGGGTGTTGCCAGTGCTACCTCCAGCTGCTTGTTTCTTCATTCTGCAGTGAAATAGGAAACTTTGTTTGGCTCACACACCTGGTATTGCAGGTCTCCTCGCTCTCCTCAAGAGTGTCGTAATTTTATCAAAACAAACGAGAAGTGTGAGCCAATGTTACGTCTCACAATGTGCCAAACGGGAGAGTATCGGGGGAGATGCAGATTGTTATTTCTGCCTTGCCAGTGAGGTGAATAATTGAAAGAAGCAAGCCGGCAGAGACACAAATATTCTAAAGGTGAAGTGTAGAGAGCTCCTGTGAGTGAGACATCAGACCAGTTGTCTGGCCATTAAAGAGCTGGATTTCAAACCTCAGGACATTGTTATCAGTTGAAAATGTTTTTAGCTTTTGTTAGAAGTGTAATACAAAATAATCTGTTCAGAATGTTCTGCTCTTTAGAGATAGAGAAGTAGAACAAGTGTGTTTTTAAAAATCTGGATACTTTGTAACTAATATGAAAAAAACTAACAAACATTTAACAGACAGCAAATGTTTAAAGAGAAAATGAAAATTCTGCTATCATTTACTCATCCTCACGTTGTTCCAAACCAGTATAACTTTCTTTTGTGAAACACAAAAAAGAACTTTTCAAGAACGCTATGGTCTAAACAACATTGACTTTATGGACCAAAAAAAAAAAAATTCTTATGTGTTCCACAGAAATAAAAAAGCCATACAGTGAAGGTTTGGAATGACATGAGAGACAGTAGCCTAAATAATGACAGAATTGTAATTTTTTTAACGAACTATCCCTTTAAGACTTCAGTTGAACTACCAAAAACTGGCAGTTTATGTTGTTGTGTCTCTTCAAATTCAGAAAAGTCTGCTGTCTCCTCTTGCCTACTTCATTTGTGCTTGTCTCGCCTCCTTTAAAAGCTGTTATGCAAAAGCCCTTGGTGAGCCAGCACTGCAAAAAAACTCGAACAATTTGAACAATACAAATAAAAGCTTACAGCCCTTTGGGCAGTGAATTACTTTGAGGCAGTAGCTACATAAATTTGATACAAAGTAGCTTACAAAGTTGACTCTGAATTCTGATCATGAACAGAACAGATACTTCAGTAATAAGACACCTATACTTTACAAAATTATTCACACTACTTGTGTCCACTGCCAATGGCCTTAGGTTAGGCCTGTTGACTAAACAGCTGGCTTGCATTTGTCTTGCTGGACATTGTTGCTGTGTTCAGTGCATAATTCTGTGCTGGGAATTTAAACTATATTCAGTCAGTTGGAAATTCAGGTTTTATGCCATAACGCTGCAGGTTCCTTTCTTATGTTGTTGTAAATGCACTGCAATGCAATGTCCAACTATATAGCCATTCTGTGTGCACTAATTCATCAATAATGTAAAGGGACAGCTAACCTAAAAAATATGAAAATCCTGTAAATGTGTTCCAAAACAACACTGGACACCACTGACTTTCATTAAACAGACAAAAACACTTTTTCAAAATGCTTGTCAAATGTGCTGACAACTGTTTGAATAACTGTCACTAAATGCTTTTAAATGGCACTCCTGACAATCAGATCTGCTATGAAAAACTCACTTTATAATTCCAAAAACTGTCCACACCCGTTTGAAAAGACCATTATCTGTAAACCTGTTTGATTATGGCAATTAGTGTTATGTTTTTTTTTTTAATCTGCACTGGTTGTATGACTGCATTTGTAGTCAGGATTTACTAGCAAAATTAATCATATATTATCAACACCTTTTTGTAAATCATGGAAACACTAAAGTGGCCTTCAGGCATGCCTGTGGTAGAGCTTCCCACGTCTCATGCATGCCATTGCCATGAGTTGTATAACCAAAGTGCAAGCAAGAGGCAAGGATAGACGTTTTGGAACGACACCTAATTGCCCACGGTAACCTGCTGATTGATAGTCAGGCGCCACGGCGGGAAACTGAGCAGAAATATGCGGCGAGTTCCGAGCGTCTCTCGCGCCTCAGGGCGCGCATGATGATTATTTCACGTGCATCCGCAATCATCTGAACGGCGCTCTGACAGTGAGGGTGAGAGGTCGGCTGCAATCCAAATCAAAACCCACTTAAAGGGGTCATATGATGCGATTTCAATTTTTCCTTTCTCTTTGGAGTGTTACAAGCTCTTGGTGCATAAAGAAGATCTGTAAAGTTGCAAACACTAAAGTCTCAAAACCAAAGAGATATTCTTTATAAAAGTTAAGAGTTAACCACGCCTACCTAAAACGGCTCGTTCTAACATCTACAACCGACTGATGCTCCAGATTATTATGCCGGCTTGATGGAATTGTTACCAAGAAAAGCATGGCTTCTAAAAGGATTCTTGCACGTGCATTCTTCAAGACGGCAAGCTTTTAAACTTGACCAAAATATCGCTACTTGTTCACTCGCTGTATAACTCTAGGAACGAGAAGTTTAAAAACTGTCCAATACCAAGGTAAAACGATTTTTTCCCTATACAAACTATGACGTAACAATCAATTGCAGATTAATTTAGTGTTATTTTCTATTGAACATAAATGATAGTGAGGGACCGTATGCTTGTCGTTTTTTCTACCCAAAACAACAACAACAACAGCAAAAACATATTGTTCCATACATAAAAAATAAAGAACTCAGAGCAGAAGTTAACTTCCTTTTAGAAACGTTATAGGTGATATAGATAGAATGACGACAAGTGCCGCTTTTCTGGCCACTTATTTTCATATTTGATAGGCTAATCTGTCTGTTTTGGGGTTTTCAGTGTGTTTAATGCAGAAACATCCGTTTTTCCTTTGAACGCACTGAACTTGAAAAACAGGTAAATTAATGTAGGAAATGTGGTATCAGCGACTGTTAGTAGACTAGGCTAATCACGGTTTCATCCGTGCGAACAAGAATGAGCCATTTAAACCGCAGGCAAAACAATATCTAAAACCAGTTGACAGTTTATTGACTATTGCGGTGAATAATAACGATTATAGATCGACTGGGTTACATGCTACACCGATTTGAGGCGAGTAGCTAATTGTGGGGGAGAAAACTATTAATTTTTGTTCCAATGAAAATAGCATTATTTACATATCGCGTAAGAGTAGGAAGAACAGGAAATAATACACTATGTATACGGTAACACACCAAACAGCTCGTTCTGATCATCAGTAAACTAACTGAAACAGCTCTTCAACATCTTTTTTGCAGCAGTGAACTGCATAAGTTTGCTCCACCACACATTAGGATCAATTTAGGTCTATAACTTATGCTACTTGTATGATAAACAACCGTCTTCCGTTGCCAAGGGAACGTCAAACCTTATTCCCTTCAACGGACTTCTTGAACATCTTACCCGAGCAATTCCATCCAGTCGGAGTCTGACAGTCGCTGAGTGAGGACGGGAAAGCGCCAAGTTGTTGCACCGGGAAAGTGGCGAGAAAGGACAAGACTGCAATCCATACCCAGTGTCCCACTATCCGGCCCCACTGGTGCGGACTTCGGGGCTCATGTAGGGCCGCCGCCACCGTGACACCCATCTCAGTTCCCCCGACGCTGCTCGCAGACGCGCAACGACAGCCCTGGTCCTAGTGTTGTCAACTTTGCCGGTGCGCTTAGAAGCCAAGAGAGGGACATTTTCCGACGGACGGAGTGTGCCCCATGAAGCAGTTGTTTCTGGATGACCGGAGCGAGGATCCGCCCGAAGCGAGAGGGTGCAGATGCGGAATGAGAGAGGTCTGGGTGCGATGATAGGGGAGGGATGTTATCGGGAGGGAAGTGGGTAAGCGAGATGTTCAAAAAGCAAGGCAAGAATAAAAAGACGCAAGCGGTGTTTTTAAGAAACAGAAGTGGGGCAAAAAAAAAAAATCATATATCCCATTCGAGTGACATGTCGAAGTTACAACATCCACTGAGGCGCGGTTTAGAGAGACTGTCCTCGGTCCTCACTCCGTGCGCTCGCGGAGAGCCGTGAGTTTGTCAGAGTCTCGTGGCGGGCCATTCCTCTGTACCTGTGAACCACAATAACGCACTGAAGCCGAGCGGCAGGTTTCCAGACAGTTTCGGATCACGTGTTCTCAAGAAACCGGGAGGGGCGGGACGATGACGCGCTTTGATTGGTCGAGAGGGATGCAGGAGTGTCGGGAGCGAGGCGATGGTCCAGCTCGAGCATATCGACGGCCGGTGCAGAATAGTGTACCCTGTAGTCTACTTTAACAGGGCTTTGGTTTGCAAACGCGTGGGCGAAGGGCCATGCGGAGAAAGTATTCTCAGTAATTGAGCACTGCTGCTCTGAGCACGATGGCAGCAGAAATCGATCGGAAACTTGCAGTGTTGTGAAATGATCCCCGTTTCCTAAACAAAAGACTTACAGCATTAGACGAGAGAACCGAGGGGCCAGGCGGAGATCACGACTGTCGCGACGCTCGCCGATGATCTCGGCGGTGGAAATGGAAATGCAGAGACGCTTTAATGTAGGCTATACGGGTCGCGAGATGAGCGAAAGACATGGCATTTCAACGGCATTTAAAGACGCAACATTTCGTCTAAGAAAATCTACTTCCGCAAGGCGTATCGACGATGATTAAAAAAAGCTCACATTCTACAGCAAGGAAATTGTATATTATCGACTTACGTTAGACTACGTTTTCTCTATCTCTTAAAATTTCCAATAACGTGTTGCCCATTGCTCCTATAGAACAATACACGATACCTGATCAAACTTGAACTTGGTGCAACAAAGTGATTTTTTATCCTCTACTGTATCTTATTTCTAGCTGATTCTTAGAAAGGCAAAGTTAAAGACTAAACACAGCAGAGAGAGTCACAGCGAGAAATGCACAAAATATGTGGACCCTTATGCCTCATTTAAAATGTATGGCATTATATAACAAAACATCAAAACAAACAGCATTTATTAAAAAATAAACCAAAAGAAAGCATTTGTGACTGAAACACACGTTTGCAGACGATTAAGTGTAGCCTACAAATACTTTGAGGCCCCTGTTGTAGTGTTTCAAAAAGTATCTACATGAAAATTGTTAGTTCATGTTTGACTGTTGAACCAGAGGATAAAAAAAATTCAAAGTGATTTTTTAAAATAAAATTAGTCAAATGTATTTTTTTTAGTAATTATTTAGCAGATGCCTCTTTCGGCAGCAATTACTGTCTTGCTAATAGGTCTCCATTAGCTATCAGGTCACTGTTATTTTTTCCAATTGGAGATTGTGAGTGGACAGCCTTTTTCAAGTCCACCCATAAATCTGGCAATTAGTCTGATGGCTAAAAAGCTCAAATTTGGTCTTATTGTACCGTAAAAAACCTTCTTCCAGCTGAATTCATAATTCTCCAAATGACTTCTGGTTAACTGTAGCCAAGATGTCATATGCATTTTTTAACCCTCTACCGCATGGTGTAGCCATATGGCAACATACTCTTTGTGTTCATTTCCTTGCCACTGTCTCTTTAAGAGAACATTCTCGTTTTTTTTGTTGGAAAGAGAAGACCTTAGTTTAGCCAATGATGTGCTTTGATTAAGTCACATGACATGCAGTTTTTTTGTGTGGCGAGATTTCTGACAGACTGCTGTCTCTTGTCGGTAGTTGCTGAAAGCAAACTAAAACGTCAGTAACAAACAAGGACCAGTCCGTGTCACTTCTACAAAAAAAATCTAAAACGTCACTGTTATGATGTTATGATGACATATTCACCTCTCAAAAAAGTTTTTATTAAATTAGTTTTTGGTAAATCATTCAAATGTATGTGTTGCCAAGTGGCAACACTGTGCAATAGTGGAATGACATTATTACAATAGTTTATGGGTGATGTCCATAGTCTTCCTCTCAAGAGATTGCATAATGCTGAATTTTCATGAACTGCAATGTTTTTGGTTTTATGTCAATGTTTTATGATACATGATATACAGTATTATATTTGTTTTAACTGTATACATTTGCAGTTTAAATAATATTCTTGAAAAATGTAATGAAATTAAAACAAATATAAATCATTGTTCAGCAAAAAAAGAATAGAATAAATAAAAGCACAAGTTCTTGGAAAGTATGTATAAGGTGTCAATTATAAGTAAGTACTGTGTTAAAGCTTATAATAGCACCAATTGAATCAACACAAACAACATTTCTGAGGAAAAATATTAATTATAAGTAAGCTTACACTTATTCTAAGTTAGATCCACTATTGTATGCTGTTGCCGTATGGCAACATATCATAAAGTACCTTAAAAAAATATTTTTTTCCACATTTTTTTTTACAGCACTTCAAGTTAAGCCATTCTTAGAAAAGAAAAAGATTCAAATATTTTTTTCTATAGGTCTATCATAATGCGTGCGGTAGAGGGTTTTAACAGTGGCTGTCTCTGCCACTTAATAAAACTGTAAGTGGTGAAGCACCTGGACAACAGTTGTTGAATGCATGATTTCTCCAAACTCTGCCTGTAATTCCATCAGATTTGTCACTGGTCTCTTGGTGGCCTCCCTCACCAATGTCCTTCTTAGTCACTGAGTTTTTAAGGATCATTTACACACCTTCACTATTACAAACTGTGTAAAACAAAAATACAATAAATGTTTCTACAACACTTTCTCACAAAATGAAAGTCAAAGTTACAAGTTACAAGACAAAGGAGAACCAGAGGCATTTGATGATACTTATGTCAAACCTACGGAAGGCAATTTCATGTAAGTCAGAATGTATTTTTTGGTGTTTTAGTCCTTACAGGTTTGGAACTACAACATTTTTTATTTTGGGGTGAATTCTTCTTCTTCTTTTCCCAGAGCTTTTTAAACTCACTGTCCTTTATGAAAATGAATACTCTCAGTTTTTCACTAATGTAAGTCATTTTGAAGGCTGTTTGAGTGCAGAACTAATAAATGATGACAGCATGCTGACATGCCTCATCTATCAAATTCATGTCAGCAAATAAAAAAGATGAATGAACTCAAATCTTTTTATTTTCTTAGAAATGTTGTCATACAGTATATGTGTTTCCCAATAAGACGACTTTAGTTACTTGCGTGTTTTCTCTTTAAGCAAAGAGCACATTTGGAAAATAGGTTTGAGACCTGTTGCTTTAACAGTTTAAAGCTGGACTTCTGGGCATGTCCTCAAGAAAAATTACGATATACTCTCCACTGTTCATTTCTCTCCTACCTGATCATTCCCACATTTCTCCTGGAGTCTGGCTCCGTATCAGTTCGGTATTATTAGCACGACTCAGAGCTCCTCTGGAGAGCAGCTGGCTCTGGGCTATCACCGACAGACACTCTTGACAGATAAAACAGCACACCCTTGCCATAGGATTTCTGTAGTTTTCTCAATGCGGTATCATGTATCACATGATGGATCTGACCTTGTAATTAAGACTATGGAACATTAATTAATCATTCGGTTTTGTAGGAGGCATGGAAAGGTTCATGTCCTTTATAGAACCTGTTCAGAAATAGAAAGAAAACTGATAAAAGATATTCAAACCAATGGCAAAGTTAAAAAGTGGATTTTTGAATGGCTAGAATGCATTTTTCTGACATTTATTTTATTGGAATTGAGTCCTGACATCTTTATTCCAATCAGAGCCATATGAAGTTAAACACCTTTAAAAAGGAGTATTGGCAAGTCTCCCTCAGCTGCTTTTAGTTATTTGATACAGAAAAAATATTCAGGATCAATGAACACCAATAATTCAACATTTTCAAAGGCATATATACTGTATAATGTGGGTTTAATTAAGTGTATGAACTAGTAATGGTGTCAAAGATAAAATGATAAATTAGGTTTATAAAACCTTGCATTTGTTCTCTCTAGACTCTTTAACCTGGACTTATTTCACATTGCCATCCTCAGTATATTCTTCTCCTCACGGGTAAAGGCTCATTTACTGTGGGCCACTCTTCAGTCCCAGCATTGGTTTCTGCATTACAACAACTGTCCCCATTCCACCCAGTTAGATCCATACCTTTTATAAATCATTTACATCACATCTAACATGCCATCTCTTACCCGGACTGGAAAAATCCCCTGTGGAACATACTTGGAGGGTTGACATGGCAACTGGAGTCTCATGGTTTCATTATATGTAAGTCTTCGCTGGAAGAGTATGGTGAGCAGGGTAATGAGGAAGGCTGCCTGGGGACCGGTGAGAAGGTCACATCTCTGGAGGGAGCGTGTGGTGTTTGAGTCTTCTAGCAGCATGGGATCCGTTAATGATGCAGGCGTTTTAAAACGCTCCCTTAAGTTCTATTGGTGCTTTGGTATTCCTGCTGAGAAGCTCTTCTCTTTATCTGTGTATGTAAAAAACTTGCCAAGCATATCACGTGAATAAATAATGGATATTGATCTTCTTTGCATGGCATCATTTAAGAATGTATATTCTGAAATGACTCTATAAAAAGTTAAATTCTTTAACTGATAGTTTCATACCCAAGATGCCTGTAGTTTGGTATTATTAATCATTTCCCATTAGAACAATAGCTCAGTAAGGAAAATTGTAAATCACTTATTGCATAACAACTGTACCACAGGCATGCAATCTATAATCCATATAGACTCTAAGTGAATAATGTAGTCATTTGGAGAATTTGATGAATTAATTGATTTGTTTTCACAGTTGAACTGCTTACACATTGTATTGTGAGGGAATGAGATTTAAAAAAAAAAAATGTTCAGAGTCGACCAGATGTTTTTGTTCTCTGCTGATATTGCACACAGATTTCAGTACAGCTGTGAATTTTCTCAGTAGTAACAAATTGATCCTCCTTCTTGGACATCCTAGACAAATGTTAAGAAAATGATATGGCTTGTTGGGGATATTGATGAATTCACTGATTTCCACTTTTGAACTGTTCAATGCATGCAACCCCAACTGTTGCCAAATTACTCTAGGACAAATTTCCCAGGGTTGCTGAATTGAATAAATGTTTGTTATCAACTCTTATTAGTGATGTAAATAATATATTAGCTCAAAACAAACATTGAGTATAGAGAATATTTGTCT